ATAAAAGCCCTTACATGATTGTAGATGAAATATTTATATTTTTACATGTATATAAGCAATCGACCGTTATCAGCATGCCTCAAATCTGATTTCCCAGAAGTTAATATGGTTTCCATTTTAATAAATTTCACATTCATGTTATGTTCTTATATCATAAAGTAACAGGGATCAACAGATGAAACTTCTTGGAGCATGCCTGATTTTTGAAATTATTTTAAGCTGAATTTATTTCCCGAACTTCTTTTTGTAATTGTTCTGTATCTGCGCATCATTCTGCTTATTAGTTATAGAGGAGTTTTGACTTAATGTACTGTCTCATCTCAGTTTAAAACAATCAATTGTTTAATACACATGATGGTTTAATACCATTTTAATACACATGATAGTTTAATACACATGACAGTCGATTAATTAACTTGATGTCTGGAATGCATATGAGTTTGATAACAGTGTAACATATTGCTGAGCTTGACATGTTGGAAAAGGGGTCATTACCATGTTATGATGCGTTCACACACACACATACATATATATATAATATGTATATATAAATACACACACACTTTTTAACATGTAGGAAAAAAGGGACAGGCTTTACCATGATGATGCATTCACAGATCACACGCACATAAATATATATGTGTGTGCACACTTTTCTTGATTTGGTCAGTGATTTATCAAAGTCCATTAATTTCATATTATGGTGAACTGATGGGGATTAAAATATTTTCTCTACTGTTTATGAGATCCAATACATGTAATAATTATCAGCAGGAAGATATAAGTACCATTTCCTTGGTATATGAGTCCCTTTTTTCAAAGTTCTCGTTATGTCATTGGCATTTGGAGAAATATGCATATCACAAGGCGAAAATGCAGCCCGCAGGAAGCTGTTAATATTTATGAGCGAGGATTGAGCGTTAAATTGTATCAGTTGGTTTTCGGGTTGACTATTTTACATTTGGTACAGCTTGCCTTGGAGACCTTGAGGATGTTCGTAGGTAATACTAAGGAAAATTTTCTATTTTATCGATTATATATCTATATTTTTTTTATGATTTTGTCATGGAATGTTTCTTGTGTATTATTTTGTTCATTTTGACAAATTATTTGGAAGATCCATTTCATTTGTCGATAAAGATTATGGGACCAATACATAAAATATGAGTTCAATCTAGAGGTGTGGTATTTTCTCGCGCATTGTTACGTACAAGCACTGAGGTTTCCTACAATGAAGATGCTATTTTATTACGTTAAGTATGTCCTTTGTCTCCTATTCTCCTTCAACGTAAAAAGACTATTGGATCATTTCATTTTGCACCTTTTCTACTTCTGATACTTAGCATCATTGATCACATCTCCAACTTTCTTTGTGTTATTCTATCACTCATGTTGAAATGCTTTTTTTAAGACTAGATATGCTAAAATATGGGGGCATTAGGTAGCCCTAAATGCATCTCATCATTTATACATATTATAGAGGGTCTCTGAGTATCACATTAATTCCAAATTATATTGTGTGCTATACTATCTGGAATTTTGAGTATTTATATTTTGCGTAGGTCATTTATCATGTGTCAGTTTCACCTTGTACTTTATGTTTCAACTCACATGTATTTTTGGAGCTCAATTAGTATGGGCTCTTCTCGCACGTTATTTCAATATTCTATTTGAAGAAATAATTTTTTTTGGAACTGTTAACTCTTTAGCTTCAAGCAGCTTGTAGAAAATTTGAAAGAGGAGATTGGATATAAAAACAAGAACTGTATTGTGGAGCAACAACATGTGCCTTATCCTGCAAAAGAAATAAGAAATATCACCTGATGAACTCTCTCCAATCATAAGGATTTGTTAGATTCTCCATATAGTTATTCAAGTCAAAAGATAAATATAGATCTATTGGTGAATTATTCTATGAGAGGGCATGCAGATACATGAAAAAATAAAATGCTTTGAGACAAAAGGCGATATTTTTTTGCAAACTCCCTTGATGATGAACTAGATAATTGGCATCTCTATCGTGATTTTATTGAGAAGAAAGATGATACGGGCTTGATTGTTTGTACTTGAGATTAATGTTTCACATGTGTATAACCTCTTCCTGCAATTGTAGCTGGCAAATGTATGTGTGTACTCTTCGAGTCGACCAAATATATGTGTAAGGTTTGAAGCTGAATCATACTGAGAGTCTGGAAGTATTAGGATTGGATCATGAGCAAGACACACTTTTTTTATAGATTCTGTAGTTATATTAAAATTTAGGTTCTAATTTTGTATTACAAAAGCTAGAATAATCTATTAATGAAGAACTATTTGGGTTCTATTTTTTCTATTGCTTTTTTAGGCGTTGGATTTATACTTGTTGGTTTCGGTTTTGAAGATTCGAATATTTTTGGCTGGATATAGATATGGAATTGAAGGTATGTTTTAAAGACAAATGGTGTGGAATTGAAAATGTAAATTACGGAGTATATATTTTAAAATTTTCTCGAGTATTAGTTATAATGATAGCCTGGACTAGAGTCGGCTGTGCGTGCACAGCCACCGGGCCAACTAGTCTATATCTACAAGTGCAATCAAATCTATACATACATATCTCTCTTATATATATACAAACGAGTTTGGACAGTTGTGGTTGCGACACGTGTCCTTTTTGGACCCCTCCGTTGGTCGACACGTGCCATTTGCTATTTTTTTTTCCTTCGTTGACCATAAACGGCACCGTTTTGTGCCTTCAGATGCATTTTCATTCACACTTTC